TTGATCTCACATAGATAAATCTATGAGAGAGCAGTATGCTCATTGTAGGTCTCACACACTTTAAAGCCACTTTTTATATCAGGAAACTCTGCATTCTGGCTTTCTGGGTGAGGTACATTGTTATCATTTTGTTCTAATTCACGATGTAAATTGGAAATGATATTGTGGAAACACTTCAGGAATCCAGGTTTTATTTCAATATATCGATGTCAGATAAACAGGAGCTTGTCTAATTAGAATGCCTGATGTAACCATTTCAAGAAAGTACATTAATTCTTTTGGTGTTCATGCATCCTATTTGGATGGCTTACTTTTGATAACAAAACATTATTTGAACATTTACTACGTTTCTTTCCTGAGGAAAGCAACTTCCTATGAACTTCATTACACAGACTTACTGTTACATAAAGGAGCACTGGTAGCTTATTGGTTAAGTGCTTGGCAGTTCAAACTCGCCCAACAGAGCTGTGGGAGAAAGACCTAGCAATCTGCTCCCGTAAAGATTACAGCCTATAAAACCCTATGAGGCAGTTCTACTTTGCCACATGGTGTCACTATGAGTTAAAAATGACATGATAGCACCTAATAACAGCAACTCTTACATAACAAATCTGTTTCCATAGATCAGATACCTCTCCCCAGCTTCAAACCCATACTTGAAACTGCTTCCTGATCATCTTCACTAGATGTCCTATAGGTTCTTCAAACTCAACTCAATATTAACAAAATACTCCCTCCAAAAAGAAAAATAAAGAAAGGAAGGAAGAGAGGGAGGGAGGAAGGAAGGAAGGGAGGAAAAGAAAGAAAAAAAGGGAGAGAGAGAGAAACCATTTAATTGCTTCTGATCCTGCTCCAAAATTTTCTTTCCATCTTCTGTAATGAAAACTATGATATAAAGAGCATGGATTATTTTAGTCAGAATAACCAGGCTTCCACCTGGGCCTTTTCCTCATGTTTAAATGGAAAATAAATATAAATTTTGAACTTTTGATAAATGTGTTAGCTACCTAGTTCTACCATAATAGAAATAGCACATGTGGGTGCTTTAAATAACAGAAATTTATTTTCTCACAGTTCTGGAGGCCAAAGTTCCAAATTAGGGTCTTAGCTTTGTCGATTCTTTCTTGGGCCTCTCTCCTAGTTTCTAGAGTCTGTCAGCAATTCTTGGTGTTCCTTTGCTTATAGATGGGACCTCACATAGCATCTGTCTTTCCCCTGTGTGTCTATCTATATGTATTCTGCTCTTTTTATAACTCAGAAGTGATTAGGTTTAGGATCCACTCTATACTGCTATAACCTCATTAACATAACAAAAGAAAACCCCTATTTCCAAACAGGATCACATCAACAGGTACAGGGGCCTGAACTTTAATACATATTTTGGTGGTCACGATTCAATCCATAACATTCACTAACAAATAATAAATTAGTTAATATTATGATCCAGGAACAGAGTTACCTTCTGGGGGTAAAAGAGTGAAAAAAATAAACCTAATATTTGCCTTCATTGAGCTTACATTTAGTGGATAGATACAGATCTTATAAAAGGAGATATAAATATAGATATAGTTCTAATATCTACTAAATGGTAAAGATTACAAAAAATAAACATTAAGAGCTGTACTTAAGAATGTATCTCCACTTTCCCAATTTACCCATCTGAAAAGCTTTCTCTCCCTCCTGTCTTCTCTCTCACGTTTTATCAGTTGCTAAATTCCAAGAGTATTTACCCTAATAATAGATCTATCCTTCAATTGTGGAGCCATGGTGGTGCAGTGGTTAAGAGATATGGCTGTTAACCAAAAGATCAGCACTTTGAATCCACTAGCCATTCCTTGGAAACCCTATGGGGCCATTCTACTCTGTCCTATAGGGTCGCTATGAGTCGGAATCAACTCAGCAAAAATGAGTTTGGTTTTTGGTTTTTTTATCCCTCACTTGTTAAGGCCACCTCTGCCATCTTCTCTTTTCTCCACTATTACTTTTGCCTCCTGCCAGACCCTCTATCTCCACTTTCTCTCTCCTCTGCCCTTTCTACCGTATTAGCACTGTGCTGTGGTGGTTAGAGCAGAATATCAGAAAGGGATATGTGTGTTATACAAAGGAAAAGGTGGCCATTTCTGTTTTTAAAGATTGAATCACTTGATTTCTATACTCACAATTTGTGAAAGGATTGTAAAGAGAAATTAAGCCTATGCAGCGGTGTGAACTGAACATTTTATTTGAGAGAAAGCTGTGCTCCAGTTAGGTCAAACTTGGCACTCTGAGCAATCTGGCTAGGTAATCTCCTGCTGCCTCCACCTGGGCCAATTCATGTTGAGTGCTAGTGCCCATGCCCTTTTGGAACTGGTGACTTGGAGCTTCCTTGCTGCAGTATGAAAACTGGGCCTTCGGGAGAAATTCTGAGTCATATGGGTCATATCCTCCTGGCAGTTGACAGACATTTTTTAGCTACAAATCTATCATTGGACTTTGCCTCCACAGGTAGGATGCTGTGACTCTTGCAAGGATACTTCTCGGTGCTGCTTCAGAGGTTTCTATGTGATAAGTGTGAGATCTTTGATTAAAATGAGAAGTCTGTGACCAACCTCCCAGCCAGACCAGCCAAGGGCTCCTAACCTTAGCCTCTCTGGGAAGATGGAGATGGATAAATAATGAGAGACAAGCAGATCATCTTCTCTCTCACCTTTTAATAGATGAATTTTTCTTATCATTCTTGTATAAGCAGTCAAGCTTATCCTCCAATTCTGTAATTCCTGTGGTATCATTTCTGCTCTTTCTTGCTTTCTGTAGCAGATTTTCATTGTTAGAACATTCTTCCTGAAATTCTGCTATCATACATGCCTGAAAGTTTGCAAACCTATGCAATCACAGTCCTTTGTCAGAAAAAAACTCTAGCAATGTATAAATAATCATAAGCACTCAAAAATCCCCCTACGAGTCTGTCAGTTTGTAGTGCCATGGGGGTTTGCGTATTGCTGTGATGGTGGAAGCTATTTTACTTGGATCCACAATCAACACCCATGGAAACAGCAGTCAAGAAATCAAAAGGTGCATTGCATTGGGCAAATCTGCTGTAAAAGACCTCTTTAAAGTGTTAAAAAGCGAAGGTGTCACCTTGAAGACTAAGGTGCGCCTGACTCAAGCCAGGGTGTTTTCAGTCGCCACATACCCAAAGACCAACGAAGACCAAAGAAGAATTGATACCTTTGAATTGTGGTGTTGGCAAAGAATATTGAATATACCATGGACTGCCAAAAGAACCAACAAATTTGTCTTGGAAGAAGTACAGCCAGAATGCTCCTTAGAAGCAAAGATGGCGAGACTACATCACACATACTTCGGACATGTTATCGGGAGGGATCTGTCCCTGGAGAAGGACATCATGCTTGGTAAAGTAGAGGGTCAGGGAAAAAGAGGAAGACACTCAATGAGATGGACTGACACAACAATGGGCTTAAGCATAACAACGATGGTGAGGATGGCGCAGGGCCAGGCAGTGTTTCATTCTGTTGTTCATAGTCGGAATCGACTCGACAACACCTAACAACAACACCCAGAAATCAGGCAATTATATGAGAAAAAATTGTTCCTTATTATTTTTTTTTTTTTCATTGAATTACCTCTCATTCTATTAAAAATACCATCCTTGGATGGCCAAATCATGACTCTTTTCTTTGTTCTCTCTCCTTCAGTTTCAAAACCTCGTCTACTTTCATCTTCACTTGCCACACCCCCACCCACACTTCACTTCAATAGGAGATGCTTCCCTTTTTTATTTGCTTTTCCATCTATCTGTATCTTTTAAGATTTTTTTTTTTCTTGTCTAAAGTGAGAGAAATGGGAAAGGATGGCAGGGTTAGGAGGTAGGTAGATGGGGGAGCAGAGGATAATGAAATATGTTAAAAGCTTGTTCAGTAAGTATTTTTCCTAAATATCTATGTCTTTTATCCATATTGAGTCTTTTGCAATTCAGAAGTTTCCAAATTATGGCTTGCTTGCTCTCTGCTTCCTTACACTCACTCCTCTTTTTGTAGCATGCTGACTTTTTATCTCGAGAACCCAAGTAGGATAAGAATACAGAATTAGCATAATTATAGGATTAAAATACATCAATTGCCGTCACCCCTTAGGATTTGCTAAGACTCACATATCTTAGAAGAAAAGCTCCTAGTATAAAGTGATCTGCAAATTCAGCTGTCTCATGTACTCCCACTGAAAACTGACTCTCTTCCAGGTTTACAGACAAACCCTAGGGTTTCAAGAGAGATGGCTAGGACCACCAACCCGGCCCTCTACTCTTATGATTCTCTGAAATTTCTTAACATCCAGACTCATCTGTGAACAACTTTCGCATTTAGAACACCAAAGAGATTCTTGGAATTTTTCACCATCAAATATTATCAGAAAAATAAATGTGAAATCATAAAAGTAAATTCATTATACTGTCTATATATCTTCTCTTCAGCCATCACTGTGTCTGCAGTTTGGCACGCATTCATGCATCCAGCCCTCATGATTTTTTCCCTATTCTTAGTTCCTTGAAGATGGAATGGGAGAGAAAGATGGTCAGAATTCTAGCCCCAGAAGTCTCAGGATGGCTTTCTAATCTTGTCTGGCTAATAGGTCTCTACCCTCCCATGCCTCTTCTTTTACCTTGGGGTTAGTTCTGCTTTTCATACCTCTGCACCCAACTTTGAATGCTTATCTACTGTGCAGTTTCCTTGGTAGGTCCCAGGCCCCAGTATGAGGAATTTATTTCTTCCCAAGGTGTATGATTCAAGGATTCAGTCATTCTGAACTGATGTTGCAAATCCTTCCTGGTTCTCTCTTCAGAAACTCGTTTATGGAGGTCCTATTCTGAAAGAAGCTATAAAATCCTTTCTCCGTGCCCCCACCCTAGGAAAAGAAAAGCTTTCATATCATTACCCGCGGCATGTCTTTTCCAAATACCATGCCAGTATCATGAACACTCACTAGGTTTGTTTTCTCTTCTTTAGGATTTGTGCGTCTGGGTAGCAGTGATGGACTGTGCTCAGGGCAAGTTGAAGTATATACTGGAACAGAATGGACTCCAGCGTCTGATAGGAACTTCACGTTCCCCACTGCCCATGTCATCTGTGCAGAGTTGGGGTGTGGCAAGGCTTTATCTGTCCTGCAGGATGTGCCCTTCAGAGAAACTGATGGACAGATCTGGACTGAAAAGTTCCGGTGTGAGGGGCAGGAATCTGAGCTCACGTTCTGCCGCAGAGTGCCCTGTCCTAGAAGCACTTGTCACCACAGTGGGGCTGTCCACATTGTCTGTTCAGGTGAGACTCAGAGCAGGACTTTAACCTGCCCACATATTCTGTTCTGGTAATAAAAACATGACGTTTTGCTGAAATCCATCTTCTTCTACCAGAGTACACTGAAGTCCGGCTCGTTAAAAATGGCAGCTCTCAGTGTGAGGGACAAGTGGAGATGAATATTTCTGGAGTCTGGAGACCACTCTGTGCCTCCCACTGGAACATGGCCAATGCCAATGTTGTTTGTCAACAGCTCAAGTGTGGAGTTGCCATCTTTACCCCAACAGGATCATACTTTGTGGAAGGAAGGGATCAGATCTGGAAACACCGATTTCACTGCTCAGGGGATGAGTCCTTTTTGTGGAATTGCCCTATGACTGCCCTGGGGATTTCTGAGTGTACAGAAGGAAACACGGCCTCTGTGATCTGCTCAGGTAAGAGAGAAGTAAGGGCTCACTGGTACTCAAGAGCTCCCGAGTGAAACCTCCCTAAAAGCAGAGAGTGGAAAACCTGGCTTCAAACGTGAGACATTCTGCACTGAAACATGGTTCTTCTCATTGTTCATTCATCTTTCAGGTCAGGGCAAGGAGTGTTCAGAGGGATAATATTTTTTAATGGGCATTATTATTTAAGTATAGTTCATAGAGGAAAGTGTATAAATAAAAAGAAACCACTCATAACTTCTACTACCATGGAATATTTTTGCCAGTTTTTTAACTTTATATAACATCATGCAGTATACTCTCTTCTGTGCCTAACTTAAAGAAATTGGACTCAAGATTATGTTTGTGATTCATCCATGTTGTTGTTTATAGCAGTGCTTCATTCATATTATTGTGTAGAATATCCCATTGAATGACCACATGACAATGTATTGATCCATTCAACTAATGGTGGTGATTTGTTTCCAGTCCTTGACTATTACAAATAATGATGCTACAAATAATTGTGACAATGAATTTTGGTGAAAATGTGTTTAGCCTTTGGCTTTTGTTTTCACTCTGTTAATGGTGTTTTTTGGTTTTTTGGTTTTTTTTTTTTTTTTTTTGATGAGCTGAGTTCTTAATTTTAATGAAGTACAATTTTTCAACTTTTTCCTGTGTACACTTAGTGCTTCTATGTACATTTTAAGAAAACTTTTTTACCCCAAGATCATGAAGATATTCTCCTACAGTATCATATAGAAGTTTGATTATTTTTCTTTTGCCATAAAATTGTGCAATCCTTCTGTAATTTATTTCTGTATATGGTGTGAGATAGGAGTCAAGTTTCATATTTTTATACGGATATCCAACTGACTCAGAATCCTCTCCTGAAAGCTCTTTTCCCCCTAAAGTGCCACCTTTGTCATAAACAGTGTCCATGTTTGTTTGAATCTTTTCTAGACTCTTTATTCGGTTCCATTTATCATTTGTCTATCTTTGCACTAATAGCCACTTCCTTATTTATTGTAACTTTATAGTAAATCTTGATATGTGGTGAAGTAACTCCTCTAAATTTTTTGTATTTCTTCCGACTGTGTTGGTCATTCTTGGTCTTTTGGATTTCCATATAAATTTTAGAATTGGCTTGTCATTTTTCACAAAAAAAAATCACGATGATATTTTGGTTGAAAACCAAAAATCTGTTGCCGTTGAGTAGATTGGATTCCAACTCATAGAGACCCTATAGGACAGAGTGGAACTGCCACCATAGAGTTTCCAAGATTGTAAATCTCTATGGAAGCAGACTGCCATATCTTTCTCCTGCGGAGCAGCTGGTGGGTTCAAACTACCCACCTTTCAGTTAACAACTGAACACTTAACCACTGCACCACCAGGGCTCCTCATTTTGGTTGAAATTAGATTTAATCTGCCCATGAATTTGAAGATAATTGATGTTGACAAGATTGAGTCTCCCAATTGATTTATATGGTATATTCACTTAGGTCTTCTTTAATTCTTTAAAGGTCTTGCATGTCTTTGACTAGGTTTTCTCCTATGTGTTTTATGCTTAGGATAGCTTTTTATCATTGTACATTTTTACTATTTAACAATAAAATTGATTTTGCATTTTTTTTGTATTGAGCTTGTGTCCAGCAATGTTAGTAATTGAAGTATTACTTCTAATAATCTAACAATAGATTATTTTTGGTTTTCTGCATTCATGCATTTTCTGCAATCATGTAGCCTACAAATAATTATATTTCTTCCTTTCCAATTCTTATGTTTTTATTTCTTTCCCTTGCCTTGTTGAACTGATTTTGATCTCTAGTAAAATATCTAATAAAAATGGTCTGGTATTTCTTTTTTCTGCTTTCTTTGTGTTTGGCTTGATATTCTTTTACTTTCCAGATATGAATACTTATATCAGTGATGTTCAAATTTTCTTTATTTTTATAGTATCTATTGAGGCTATAAATTTGACTTTAATCACAGACTTGGCTGCATTTTATCAGTTTGATTTCTTGTATATTATCATTTAGATACAAAGTTATTCTAATTTCCATTGGTTTATTTAGAACTTTATTTCTTAGTTTTCGAATAGTTGAAAATTTTCTGCTTAGTGTTTTGTTATTACTGTTTACATTAATTCCACTGTGGGCAGAGAAACTATTCTATATGACTGAACCTTTTCATATTAGCTTATTGCCCAGCTTATGGTATTTTTTTCACAAACGTTTTACTTGCACTTGAAAGTGTATTTTGTATATTTCTTGGCTTCAGGATTTTATATATGCCAATTAATCAAATTTGTTAATTATTCAAATCTTACACATACCTATTCATTTTGTCTGTTTTTCTTTCCATCAGTTATTGAAAAGTGTATTAAAATTTCTAAATATAATTGTCTATTTCTCTTTTGTGTTTTGTCGGTTTTGCTTCATGTATTTCAAGGCTTGGTTTTAATTATATACGAATTTAGAAGTGTTTTATTTTATGTTAGAGTTACCCATTTATAATTATGAAATAGCCCTCTTTATGTCTAGAACTTTTTTTTCCATAAAGTCTATTTTGTATGATATTAGTATAGCTACTCCAAATTTCTTTTAATGGTTTTTTTTTTTTTAGATCTTTTTTTAATCACTTTTTGTGCCCTGATATTTATTATGGGTCTCTTATAAGTCATATAAAATTGGGTTCTGCCTGTTTTTAATGCACTTTGATAATCTTCACGTATAATAGATATACGTAGTGTATTTAGCTTTACTGTGATTATTGGAATATTTCAACTAAATATACCATTTCTCTGTATCTTTTTGTTATTTTCTTGCATTCTTTTGGTCTAACCCAGTATATTTTACTATGGTATTTTCTCCTCCAGTAGCTTGTTCACTATATATTTTTATTATTCTTAGAGTCATTGTCCTTCATTTTAACTACACTTCTATTTTAAACTTCACCAAATATTGTTTTCCATGTTTTAATTCCCTCGTATCTGTCATATCGATGTTCTTCATTTCTTCCTACATTAATGCATTCATTTTGCCTTAAAAAACTTTTTAGTACTACTTTTACTAAAGGTGTCCTGGGAATGAATTCTCTCCAACTAGTTTTCACCTTTGTTTTTTAGAAACCACCACAGTTGTTATTAAATTATCCCACTGTGATTGTAGATTTTCTAATTTTTACTTTTAGCTCTGTTAATCGTGACTTTATGTATTTAAGACTTACTATATAACAATGTGTCTTTTCACTGTGTCTCTTATGCCCCTTTTTATAATTTCCATTCTTTTGCCTTCTGCGCTTTATTCTGTGTATGCTCTTCTGATTGATCTTCTATTTTACTGTTTCTATCTTGTGCTGATCCAATGTGCTGTTACACTCACTGTTTGAGTTCTTACTTTGTTATTGACTTTTTCAGTTCTAGAATGTCCATTTGTTTCTTTATTATCATTTATCTGCCAAAATATACCCATCATGTCATTTAATTTCTTGACCATTTCAACCTTTTTTTTTTTTTAAGTCCCTGTTAGATAACTCTAATAGACGGATACCTATGAGTTTCTTTCTCATGTGTCCTTCTTCCTCTCAGTGTTTTGTCAAATTTCTTCTTTTATATGCCTGAGTGTTTGATTGACAAACATTCTAGGTTAGAAATTGTAGGAATTCTTCAGAAAGAATTTTATTTGACTTCTTCCAGACATCTGATTTAGGAGTAGATCACTTTTTTTTTTTTTTTTTTTTAATTGAAGTGATTAGAAGCTGGGCCTCCTTCCTCTGAAGAATGGTCTACTTTTCATTCTCTCATTCTCTTATGGTACAAGTTTTCTGGGTGTTTAACAGGGCTCCTCATCTTTAAAAGACCCCAAATTATAATGTGTGTTCCCCTAGCCAGTGAGTCTGCCCAAACTCTGCAGAGCCTCTCGTTTCTCAGCTGCTCCCTTTGAAATGGCAAATGCCTCAAGGGGAAAAAGGCTCACCTCTGCCCTTTACTTCTCTCTGAGACCTTGGTTCCAGAAATATTTCCTGTCTTGGTTGCTCTGTAATGCTTTCAAACAGTGTTCATGTATTCCAGCTTTCCTAAAGTCATCCTCAGTGCAATGGCTTGTTTAAACCAGGCATATTTGCCATTGTCAGAAGCAGCACTCTCCATAAAGAAGGTTAATTCTGAAGTTATGATATTTTTACTCCTATATCAGAGCCTTCGTCTCAGACCTGCTCACTAAATTTTTATTTAGATTAATTCAATTTCCTGTTACTTAACCCTTCTAATCCCCTGATCACGTTGCTTCTGTAGAAAACCAGACCCAGCTGCTTCCCCCTTGCAATGACTCCATGTCTGACCCAGCAGACTTTGCAACCTCAGAGGAGAGTGCTACCAACTGCTCAGGTGAGGGGGTCCCACAGGAGCAGAACCTATTCTCATACCTGTATAAATGCCACCTGTATAATTTAGCCCTGTATAAGTGCGCCATTGACATGACTTTCTCATCTCAGAGAACAGATGGCTCCGCCTGGTGAACGGGAGCAGTAGCTGTGACGGGAGAGTGGAGGTCTACCACAAGGGCTCCTGGGGCACCATCTGTGATGACGGCTGGGACGTGAATGATGCCCAAGTGGTTTGCAGACAGCTGGGCTGTGGGTGGGCCCTCAATGCCACGGTCTCTGCTCATTTCGGGGAAGGAAAAGGACCCATCTGGCTGGATGACCTGAAATGCACAGGACAGGAGTCCCATGTGTGGACGTGCCCTTCCCAGGGCTGGGGGCAGCATGACTGCAGGCACAAGGAGGATGCAGGGGTCTTCTGCTCAGGTCTGTGTCCATGTACCCACATTGGGGGAGGCAGCAAGAAGCTCCACAGAGGGTGAGGCCTAGTCCCCTGGGGAGCATGAGCTGAATTAGCCTGAGGGGAGTGAGCCTGCCATGGTTCTTGCTGTTCAAATAGCTGTAAATAATGGATTTTTTCTTGCAGTGATTTCATTTGACAAGATTTTTTTTTTCTAGTGTTCCAGATAAAGGCAGCACTTGTATTTCAGATGCAGTAAAAAAAAGAAAAGAAATGACTTGCAAATCCCTACCCACATCTTGTGTGTATCAGTGCATCTCCCAGAGGCTGAGGCAATAACTGGGGGGGCTTCCCTTCACCTCAGTTGTTCCAGTCCCTATAATGAGAGACAGCGGGGCACAAGAGATTAAACCCTGATTAAGAAAATGAATCAGAAAGAAATTTATGAACTCCTTCAAGGTGGGAAACTCCTCTGCAGTGTCTGAGATAAGCAGTTCCATCACCTGGAGATGAGGGATCACAGCACTATGTCAGCCACACTGGGGCCCAGTGCCCTCATTCCTTCCATCTCTACTTTCAGAGTCCCTGGCCCTCAGGCTGGTGAGTGATGACCATGACTGTGCTGGCTGGCTGGAGGTCTTCTACAATGGGACGTGGGGCAGCGTCTGCAGAAGCCCAATGGAGCCCACCACCCTGTCTGTGATCTGCAGGCAGTTGGGCTGTGGGGACACTGGCGAGCTCAATGTTTTGGCTGGTATCAGGACACTCTCTCAGCCCCTTTGGGTGGATGGAATCCAGTGTCGGAAAAGTGACACCTCTCTGTGGCAGTGTCTTTCTGATCCCTGGAACAACAGATCATGCTCTCCAAAAGAAGTAGCTCACATCATTTGTGCAGGTGACTGATTTGTCTGAATTTGAGTAGACTATACCATCCTTCTATGTGCTTTTTTATGCAAATTTACATTTTAATTGTATGGTTTAAATTTCAGATTGAGCCTACAAAATGTATCTATCCAAACAGAACGTCAAATCTTGAACCCCAAACTACAGCACGTTCTGGAAAACAAAAAAAGGGTGTTCAGGCCTGACATCACTTTAAGTTAAAACACCTGGGAGATTGAATAGAAGACATGGGCATCTTGAGCTTGTACTGTGTTGGAAACTAAAATTTTGTTTACTGTATCTTATTATCTCAAATAAGGAAGACAAGAGATGAACCTTAAATTATAATGAGTATGTCTTAGTTATCTAGTGCTGCTATAACAGAAATACCACAAGTGGATGGCTGTAACAAACAGATGTTTATTCTCTCACAGTCTAGGAGGCTAGAAGTCTGAATTCAGGGTACCAGCACCAGGGGAAAGCTTTCTCTGTCAGTTCTGAGAGAAGGTCCTTGTCATCAATCTTCCCCAGGTTTATTAGCTTTTCAGATCAGGAACCTCAGATCCAAAGGACACACTCTGATCTCACTGTTGCCTTCTTTATAACATGAAGTCCCCCTATCTCTCTGCTCACTTCTCTCTTTTATATCTCAAAAGAGATTGATTCAAGACACAACCTAATCTTGTAGATTGAGTCCTGCCTCCTTTCATAACTGTTTCTAATCCTGCCTCATTAACATCATAGAGGTAGGATTTACAACACATCAAAATCACATCAGATGACAAAATTGTTAGACAATCACACAATACTAGGAATCATGGCCTAGCCAAGTTGACGTATATTTTTAGGGGACACAATTCAAACTATAACAAAGTATTTACTAAGCATTTTGCTAAGTTCTTTATACAGGGAATAGCATTTAATTTTCAAAGAAGACCTATTAATTAAGTATGATGACAGTCATTATTCAGTTGAGGAAACTGATGTTAATAGAGCTTCAGTGGTATGCTCAGAGTCTCTTCACTAACAAGCACCAGAACTGGATATCCACGCGATATGCCCAGTTCCAAAGCATTGTCCTTTCCAATCAGCAATGCATTTTGTAATCTTCACACTTTCTAAGTCAGGTAATAAGTCTACAGACCTTTATTGGAATAAGTACAGCCAGAATGCTCCTTGGAAGCAAGAATGGCGAGACTTTGTCTCACGTACTTAAGACATATTATCAGGAGGGACTAGTCCCTGGAGAAAGATGTCATTCTTGGTAAAGTAGAGAGTCAGCAAAAAAGAGGAAGACCCTCAATGAGATGGATTGACACAGTGGCTGCAAAAGTGGGCTCAAGCATAGCAATGATTATGAAGATGGTGGGACTGGGCAATGTTTCATTCTGTTGTACATAGTGTCGCTATGAGTCGGAACTGACTCAATGGCACTTAACAACAGCAAATTATTTGCAAGGCTCTGTTACAGGCATGAGGATAGAAAGCAAGAGAGGATATACATATAACTACACAGAAGATTTCAACCTAATGTTGAAGACCTATTGAGTAAATATGTTGGGAAGAAGTGTCAGACTCTGAAGAGGAAAACAGTCAAACAAATATTAGTCTGGAAAGAAAAGAAATGCTTAAGCAAAATCCTAAAAGATGAGCTTTACCCATTGTCATTGAGTTGGAGTCACCAAAGAGACAAAAGGGTAAAAAGATGTTTTGGCCAGAGGAAAAGCAAGTGGGAAGGTCATAGAGTGGGAAAGAGCACCATGTATTTGAGAAAATGAAAGAAGCCCAGTATGGCTGAGCAGGGAAAACATGAGGGAAAGTGAAGCTTGATGGCCTGGACCGGTGGGCAGGAGCCAGAGTTTCTTAGGCTTATGCTGAAGAGATCAGTGACACAGTCTCTCCATAATTTCTAGATGTAAAGAACAACTAAACTTCTAGATACAAAGGACAACTAAACACCTTATAAACGACCCTCTGAATGATACCCTCAGGCCTCTCTCATCTTTACCTCAGTCTTCACTAGAAGGCCAAGACTCCAAGTTCACCCTTCAATACCTGAACCCTCATTCTCATGATACTTTGATAGTCCACAAATCTGTCCCAGTATTACTCTTTGCTCTCCTGCCCTACTAAAGTAATTTGCTGGTGTCTCTTGAATTTTTGTCTATCGGACATGAGCAAATTTCCCTATATCCTTAAGTTTCCCTTCCCTTCTTACTCTAAACAAAGCCTGAGTAGCCCCTAATGACAGTGCTTTCCCTACAACCTTGCAAATAGATGCTGTTTACTTTTCATATACTCCACTTGTCTCTGGGTCTAGAAGTGTCATCAGCATCATCTTTGATCACCATCGAAGCTCCAAATCATTTCTGCTCTGAAGTTATTTTTAATTCACAAATCCTTTGAAATTTATGCCATTGGCATACACTACTCTCTTCATGTCCTTAGAGTCTTCTACTCGTCTGCTGGTCATCCTTCATCATTCACTGAAGATTTCAGAACCAGGCTTGCATGCTTTCTTTCCATCCTGTTTCTCTCACTGTTATTTCCAATTTCAACATTCATGCAGACAACCTATCCAACTTTCCTCCACGCATCTTCTGTTACTACTCAAGTAATTGTGTATTTCACATTGTCATCATCCATAACTGCACCACTGCAGAGATCTAGATTTAAAGTATACTACATTTTGACCATTATCTTTACTTCTAAGATAATTCTTCCTCATGGAGACATTCAATCTCCAATGTATCTGCAATATTTTTTCATTATCATCATCCCTCTTATGCCTGCAATTTCTTGCTCACCTGTTTAAATTTCATGAGCTATCATTACACTCACTCTCTTGCCGTCACCTTTAACTCCCTTGCCACACTTTTCCTCTATGAAACTTACCTGGCTAAACCCCAATGACTGACCGGAAAACTCTACTATCCACATATTCCTGCCTACACCCAAGCAATTGCACTAGGTTGAAAAAAAGTACACAGTATTTACTAGTCTCACTTTAAAGTGATGAATAAATCCCTACAGGGCAATCAGCATTCCTTAACATTCCTACTATACTTCCTTAATAGTTTGTTTTCCTACCCTTCAAATTTCTATTTCATAGCGTCTCCTATCATCTCAAATTACCAATAACTGGACCCACTACTACTCTTAGCTGAATCTGCTTCACTTTACTCTGACAGAATAGAAGAAATTGCATGGAAGCGCTCTCATTTTTCTTCCACCATGGTTCTGCACCTGCACTCTGTCTTTTCCCCTTCAGAGTGGGAGACGTGCCCTTGCTCCTTTACTCGGTAATGTCCACACTTGGTCTCTAAATTCCACCTCTCTTGTTTTCTGAAAGACTTTGATTCTAAATTTGACAATGTTGATTTCTTTCTCCTTCTTTCAACCCATGTTTTTTAGGGTTTCCTGAAACCATACTCCCCTAGGTTTTTTTTTCTTCCTGCCTTACCAATTGCTGACCTCAGTAGCCTTTATTGGTTCCTCTTTCTCTGCTCAACCTGGATTTATGATACAGACTTAGTGTTCACTTCCGAGCAATCTATTACTCACCATCTTTGTTCTTATCTTTTTGAATTCTTGTTTCTGTTTTTGTTTTCCTCTTGAGAGACCAGAGATTATTTCATTAAAACTAGTGATAAGAAGAACTCTGAGTCTGAAAAGAGCAGACATCCAGCAGAAGTTAGGAGATTAAATTTGAGAAATATTCTAGAAGAGAATTGTTGAATAAGGTGTATGGTTGTATGGGATGATATAGAAAGAACATATCAATTCTGAGATTTTCTAACAAACAGCATATCTTAATTATATTTGTTTTTCTGTGAAATGCTGTATTTTCTTGTCATCTTCAAATTCTAGGTTTTCCTGTGAATTAACATGTGGTTTTGTCCTTTTTATTTTATGCATTTTTTTAGTATCAGGGTCTTTGTGTTATCTTTGTCCATTCTGTATAATTATCTCTCTGTGTACAAAATCAATGTCTCATTCTAAATTTTCTAAGTATCTTTTTCTACGTATCTATATTTTACTTATCCCCTGGCTTTCTAAACATTTTTACATTCTGCTTATAATGTTTCATCTCCTTCTCCATAAGCATAACCTTCATCCATTTTCCTATTCTACGTATCATGCTAAAAACATGAAGACATCGTTTAGATTTTCCTTCACACTCTTAATTTATGAAGTATACAAATAGAATACATATTTTTCTCTCAACGTGTTCTATTATTTACTTTTGTGCATTCCAGAATAATGTGTATACAACTCATTAGCTTTTAATGGAAGAAAAAAAAACTTTGATACACCAAATTTATTCCATTCCACTTGTTAACTTACAGAGGAGTTAAAAGAGATGGTTAATAATGAAGAGTAAACATTGATCCACAATTCTTTTCATAGTTTAGTAATGGAGAAGAGAGAAAATGGAAACATGATTCAGTTTAGAATACCTTCTCATACCTTTATCTTTTTAACAAATAAATATTTGTTGTAGGCCTACTATGAATCAAGAAGTATTCTAGAAACTAGAGAAATCAATAATACAGCTAAGGTCCTTGCTCTAATTTTTTGGTGTGGTGGTGGCTGATTTAAAACAATAAAGAAATAAATTAAAACAATACTTTCAAGTGGTTATGAGTTTTATGAAAATAAAATTACTGTGATTTGATAAACAGAGTTGATGAGCACACGTAGCATAGAGTGGTATTGATTTACAACAGTGAGATACTGACTGGGACTTACCACTCTAGTAAAGTGGGGAATGGAGTTGGTGAGATCAAGAGTCATCAGTCCTTCATGGTGGACACTGGTCCTGGCCTCTTAGTTGACTCAGACCATGTGGCCCCACTAGAAGTTGCCCTCCTTCAATGTCATAACATCACAAGTAACTTTTCTCTCTCTCAACAACATATCTTAAGTTCTACCACCCTCGGAACTCCGTGGCCATCTTCCCATCAAAGATCTTGCCAGCCCTAGGTACTTAGAGTTTGGGAGGAGGCACAGGCATCCATCACCCTGGAACACACAGGTCAACGGGATCTGAAAGTTTAGAAACTCTCTTTTGAAGAGCCTCAAACCTCACCCCTTCCAGTTTGTAAGGGAATTTTAAAACGTGAGGAGAAGATCTGAAGTGGCCAACTTGAGGTCTGAGTGTGACTCCTCTATTGCTAGCTCTGTTTCTGCCCTAGCAACAGCCATTTTCTGGGCAGACATAATCATGAAACTAAGAAATGTCTGGCAATGATGACGTAACTACACTGTGACTCCCCTAAGAGAGGACTGTACAGTAAAGATGATGTAACTACCATACAACCCCCCCTTTATGATTAGCACCTTGTAACCAATCTAAGAAAGACGCATATATCCTTTTAAGCCAATTGCCTTAAGAGCTTCTGCTATAGGAAGTCCTGCCTATGAGTTCCTGACACAGGAAGCTCCACCTTAAAATGATCTTCTACCAATTGAGTAATGTCTTTCGATGATCTAAGCTTGTAATTACCAATCAAGTAATGTTTTTCAATGATCTAAGTTTGTAAATACCAATCAAGTACCGCAATTCATCTCCTTTGTTTCCCCCTAATAAAAAGTCACTGCTGAGTCACCCTATTGGATTACTGGATTCCACCACATGGTGGTTAGTCTATCCCCAGCTCAAACTGTCTCTTTACTTTCAATAAATCTCTCAATTTTACATTAATCAGAGAGCGGAGAGTTAATCTATGACATCAGGCAATCAAGCACAGGACCATTTGGAATGGAAGGATTCTTCATATTTGTGCACCCCAACAATTTCTTTACAAATAAAAAAAGCTCTAAAATCCCCCATTAGCAATGAAGCCAGCTCTATAGCCTAAAATTCTGTTTGTGCTGTCACATGATATTTTGCTTAACTCATGAAGCAATAGCTCAAAAAAAATATGAAACACTAATATGTATCTCAGTTGTTCACCTGTTGAAGTTGATATGAAGCCTCCGGTTCCTCTATGCTTGTGATTTTCCCTTAATTCCACTTAGGGAACCCTATTCTAAAACAGTCAAACCTAATGAATACCTGATAGAACCCAGATCCCCTAATCCAGCTCTTCCCCATTGTCTATTTCTTCAGGAAACAAACCGAAGAGCTGTCCCACTGCTGCCCCCTGCACAGGTACTTCAGCCCCTCCCACCTCCCCTGTTGGTCCTCAGGGTGCCTTCCTCCCACCAGGCCAGTAACAGGAAGTGCTGCTGCCTTTCCAGACAAAGAGAAGCTTCGACTCAGGGGAGGAGACACCACATGCTCAGGGCGAGTGGAGATTTGGCACAACGGCTCCTGGGGCACAGTGTGTGACGACTCCTGGAGCCTGGCAGAGGCCGAGGTGGTGTGTCAGCAGCTGGACTGTGGCTCTGCCCTGGAAGCCCTGCAGGAGGCTGCATTTGGCCCAGGAAATGGGAGCATCTGGCTGGACGAGGTGCGGTGCAGAGGCAGGGAGTCTTCCCTGTGGGCCTGTGCTGCGCAGCCCTGGGGGCAGAACAACTGTAAGCACGAGGAGGATGCTGGAGTGAGGTGCTCTGGTGAGTGGAGGGACAGGAGAGAGGGCTAATGCTGAAGGAGATGTGAGTTTGTCTCCAGAAGCACTTCCTGGGCCTACCTGCTACCCTGTGCTCTGACATTGGAGATGCTGTGATCTTCTCTTCTGGAATGTGGGATAGAAGCAAGTGCCAGTGATGGGAGGTGTGACCCGAAGGTTTTTCCAGGCCAACTCAGTACAGTGGTCCCATTTTCCTTCTCTTCCCTCCAGGTAAGAGGACAACATCTTCCCTGACCGTTGGAGGTAAGTGATTTTTCTGCTCCAAGCCAAGTGATAGAGGAGAAACTCAGATTTTCCGGGACCTGTGCTCTGTACTCTACATATTTCTGGCAAAATGAACCGTATCAGTACGTGAAAGTCCTGGTTACCAGATGTTTATAGCTCCAGTAAGTTATGGCAACCATGAAGCTCCTAAGGTTCACCAGCATTTACTTTATAGAAACTCCTTAGGAGCAGGTTCAGAAGACAGTTGACACAGCTCAGGGAAGGACCTGGCTTGGTCACATCTTGGGGTTCAGGCAGACCCATTGTATGTGAACTGGTGACTTCATGGTGCTGAGGACTCAGCAGATGACTACGATGAGGGGATTCTCCTGGGCTTATGATCCTCTCTAAAATCTCATCGTTCTTTTTTCTCCTTAGGCACAAGTTCAGGCTCAGACCCTGTCTCCGACATCTTCTCCCTACCTGTGGTCATCTGCCTCATTCTGGGGGCCCTTCTCTTCCTGGTCCTTATCTTCTTGGGAACTCAGCTGCACAGATGGAGAACAGAGCTCCGAGGTGGGCCTTAGAGATGCTAAATGACCTGAAAAGTATGTGAGGAGAGCATTGAGCCAATTGTAATGTCAAGAAAAGTGTACAAGTTTTAGGCTTCAACCTCATTATCTGGCAAAACCCCACCTTCTCTACAATAGACGTCAAGGTTTGAGTAACTCGAGTCTTTGGTGCTGGGTTGAGTGTGGAAGTTCTCAAAAAGTATGGCTTCCTGTGTGAACAGTGTCAGTGGAGATTGAGTATATATGACCAAGATCAGGATCAAGAAAACTAGTTCTGACACAAGAAAGCGCAAGGCTAAAGAAAGGTGCTCTGGAGCCCAAAGGGGTTTCTCCCAGGGTGAGCATTGGGGAGCACTGAAGGCTTTGTCTATTGGTAAAGGGAATATCTTCAGGTCAGTCTCTGAACTGTGCTGCTTTCCTCAGTCTTATCTAGTTTTGAAGGTGCTCTCGATGAGGCTTTGTACGAGGATATTGATGATTACATTTTACAACCAGAGAAGGAGGACCTGTTGGACAACTCAGGTGTGTATCCTATGTCCTCCCCACTGTTCATAAGCTGGCTATGGGTTTGGGTACCTTCAGCAAGCGCAGATCCCACAACTATCACAACTTCACATGGCAGCATCCTCTTAAGGCAGGAGCATCAAGCCCTCTCTCTACTAATCTGAAGCTTCAAGATTTCTTCTGAACCTTGACATTGGACCATATACTGTGGGAAAAGTTTTGCTCTTTGTCTTTGATGTTTTCCTCCCTACCAGGAAAACTGTCTGATGAGTCATTGACTAAGCTGCCATATTACACAGGAAACAATGAGGAGGATACAGATCCTGAATCTGTCCTAGGTAAGAGGAATTGCTTTGTCCTTAAATGGTGAGGATGAGGAGGAATCACGTCTGAGGAGAACATTCTTCTGTGATTAGGATTAGAAGTGTCTCTTCTTTCCAGCTGGCAACAATTTTTTCTTCTCTCTGCCCACCCTGTGGACTCAGAAAAGGAAAGATCAGGCTCAGTTCTCTGTATTCACTTCTACTCAGTCATGGACATGCATCTAATGTATTGTTATAGATTCAAAGACCATGTTTTTTAAAATGACATTTGAAACTAATAATAGCAAAAAATCCATGCTAGGAGAGAACACTGGGAAATATGATTTTGACCCTGAGATAGTGCGATATTTTTGGGTGGTTTATATGTATGTTGAGATAAAAAAGAAATTGACTTCTACAAAGGCCTAGAACACACGGAGTGCATACTGTTTTGCTTACCAGCTACCAGGAGCTCTTATTTACAAGAGGCTTCAGAGAGGAGAATTTTCTCCCTGGATCTTCCACAGTAGTAGAGATGGACAGCCCTTGCTTGGGGCAGGGTATGTCCACAAGGGCTCTGTGGAATGATTTGTCGAGATCAATAGAGCACTGGAGGGAATCGAAACCTAGGCCTCCTGTGATTGAGATCGGTGGGATCTCTTGTCTCTGGGTGATACCCAGGCAACCCTCTCCCTGGCAGCTGTGTGTCTCCCACAGCCTCAGAGGCTAAGTTTGTAGCCTGGGTTCTCTTGATTCAGATTCACACTCCCTCAGTTACGGGTACGTATATATTATGTGTTGCAGCTCTCTTACCGTATGTTGAAAATAGTACCTGAAATTCATAGCACAATAGCTTTAGTTGCTTCTTTACGGTCTGAGAGGCCTTTTTAGAAAAATATCATCAACCTTAATACATTCAAATATTTTGAAGATTTTAATGGTTTATGGGAATATTGAGATCAAATATGTACCTTTCAGACAGCCTTGGAATCTGGGGCCTATATTTATCAACTAGTAGAATCTCTGCATTAGAAGGGACTTAGGACACCACTTAGTCCAACCAATATTTTGCTATTCCGCCTAAGTCCTTGTCTGCTTTCAGACCCTCCAGGAAAGCAGACTGATGCCACTGAAAATGGTTACGATGATATTGAAGAGTTACCTGTTTCTGAAATTCCTCCTACCCCTGGAATGAGTGAGAAGCATTTTTTCCCAGAGGAAGGGCATGGTACCAGGTATTCCCAGACAGGTGAGTGGACAGCTATGCCTGCAGTAGTCTCACTGGTTTGTCATAGGAAAAGTGAGTTGGGACCCTCCAATAACTCATTTTTTCCCCTGCACTATCACAATCTGGGTAGCTTCATATACCCAGAGATCAGCTCTTAGGGAAGCTCTTCCTGATAGATTGTAGCTATTTCATCTCTTCTTGCAAAGGGATATATTGTGTTCTCTGTGTCCATGCCCACCATCCCCTGGACGTGGACAGGTCTGTATAATGAGTTGCAGGGCTTTTGTTCATAT